GTACCATAAGGTTGAAGTACTTTGGTGGTATGCAAATTCTTTTTTGCACACTTTGCACAAAATCACGCTTTTATCAAGGCTTCTGTTGGGTAGTCTTTCGAAATGAAATTTGCCTCAGATCAGTCCTAGCAACGCGCTTTCGTCTCGTTCTTTAATAAATTTGCATGCTGAAAAAAATGTTTTGTCTCTCTCCCATTTCTTCTTGTAGCATGTCGCAGCCCTACTTGGAACCTTGTTAAGATCCAACCATGCAAAATATGGTGGTTTTAAACTTTTGATCAGGACTGAATAGGTCAACCTTTGTTAAGGTGTCTTATGCTTTGTTTGACAGCTGTTTATTATGTTTTGTTTTGTCTTGTTTGGGGGGGGGGGGTTATATCAAATGATGCTTCTTATTTGGCACACATAAAACTAAAAGCTACCAGCCTAATCTGGGAGACAGTCAAAATAACAGACAGAATTAAGAATTCAGCTCAGCTAAGCTTAATAACAGAGTCATAAATTTAGTGAATCCATGTTTTCCCAGGTTGTCTCAGGGAAGTCTGAAGACCGTAAAGAGACTCACCTGTAAGATTACACTTAAACCTGTGACTCACCACAGGTTTAAGTGTAATCTTTCTGAGTTGTTTGATGTGTTAACGGACATTTGTTGGGAAAAGTTTTGATAATGACAAGCACCGTGTTCATTTTCTTTTTGTTTTGATTTCTTCTTTTTTTCTTCTTCAAAACAATATAATGGCACACAAGCTGGACCTTGTGTGCAGCTTAAGGGTGCTCTACAGTGTAATATTAAAGTTGAACTTCACCTTCCAAAAAGAGTCAAATTTGTCAGTCTATGAAATTTTATATCTTTGGATATTATATCTTTGGACTTATGTTTGACATGTCAATGGTTAATAATCAAATTTACTCTGTACATGTTGTTCTTTTTTTCTCTTTTTTATGACATAATGGTTTAAAAGAGCAAACTAACATTTCAATTGACATCATTTTCAGTTTGCTAAATGTCTTTCTTCCACATTAATTATATATGGGAAAGGTTTATCACTGTGTAACATCCCCTCTTCTTTTAACAACAGTGTTTGACTAAATCAGAGGAAAGTCACATACTGTTCTACCTAGGGATGGGTATCGTTTAGGTTTTATCCGATACCGGTGCCAAATCGGTACTTTTGAAACGGTGCCGGTGCTTAAACGGTGCTCAAACCGGTGCTTAAAGAATGGAGAACACAAACTTTGTCCAAAAACCTCTCATGTTCAGCTGTTTGTTTGTTTTTTGTAAAAAGATAACAATGTTAGCCTTTTCTGCAGCTATGGGGCATATATGGTATCACTCTTGGCTGGAAGCAGTGCTTAAACAATGGAAAAAACACAAACTTTGTCCAAAAACCTCTCATGTTTAGCTGTTTTCCACTTTTTCTTTGGTCATTTTAGCCTTTTTGGCCAGGGTGAAGGGAGTATCTGCCATCAAACAAGAAGACAGCCGCATGTAGCTATGATGATGTTTGCTAGTTCACCTTACATGCATTAATGTAATAACGTGGTTAGCCTACTCAACGTAAATTACACACGAACAACATTAAGCTACTCATGCAGAGAAGAACGGCTGCTGCTGCATCATCATCCTCATCATTTCTGCTACACTGGCAGGGCTAGGGGCCAGGACTCTATTCTTCGGGTTTTTGGGGGATGTTGCTCCGGTCCGATAACTGGCAACCCACCCAACGTGCACGGTGTGAGGTCTCGCAGCAAGCTATCAAATACGGCGCATTTCTCGGCTTTTAAAAAAAACGCTATGCGTCGCCAGGTGTTTCATCGGATTCGAGGTGTTACCTCCTTTGACAGTATCACAGTATCAGCTTAAAGCACTTGTTGCTGCTGAGTTTGCATCTTTTGCTGTGAAGTACAGCCAGACTTTTGACCGCTTCGCCTTGGACATTTTTAATCTGTAGCTCTGCTCTAACTAGAACGTACGTACCTGGCCCCGCCTACTATCCTCGGAAACGTAAAATGATTGGCTAGAAGTGTATCACAGCTCAGGAAAAAAAAAGCACCGAAATAAAGCACCGAAATGTGCGCTGCTTTTCGGTCTGGTTACTACCGTTTATGTCAGAACCGGTGCCATCATGGCACCGGACACCGGTACCCATCCCTAGTTCTACCTGTACGATTGCTTCACATTCACTTATTGTTACTTTCAGTGTCAATTCTAATGACCTGGCCATTGGATTGTGGTTTATTTATTATTACTTTTTTCTGATCATCAATTAGCTACTGACCGGAGTTACAGTCCTTAGCCTATATTTTTGCTACAAAGCCCTGGCTAACACCTTCATTTGCACGTGGAGTTTATTCTTAGTCGTAGACCAAACCAGAAATGCCATATTATTCCATTGTGTTCTTCAGATTGTGTGACAACCCTCTTATGGAGTCTGGAGTCCAAATCCTGGTGGAAGCCCTGCCAGAGAATCAGTCCCTGACAAACTTGTCCCTGATGCACACTGGACTGGGGGATGAGGGTGTCCTGGATCTGGCTAAGAGGCTCCAACAACACAGAAGACTCCAGGAGCTCAACGTGGCCTATAACAATATTGGAGACGACGCAGCTCTACTTCTGGTAGATGCCTGTAGAGAACATCCCAGCATTCAGACTGTACAGTAAGAAACTTCTCACTATATCCAAAGCTCAACATTTCTTTGAGGTTTAGTTGTGCTATAATGTTGTATTGCATAGACCACATTATAAATAAATTCTGATTCCACTGTCCTTTTTGCATTATAAATTTTTTTTTTTTTTTTCATAGAACACTGACAGTTTTCGTAACATGAAAAAAGCACCTTACTTACAGTTTGGCATATATTAAATTATAAACCCTGATATTGTTTTGATGCATGCGTAATGTAAGTTGTAAGTCCAGGTAAGTAAATCCCAATAGGTTGATTCTGTTCATATGGACGAAGCGTTTTCAGTGGGAGAAACATTTTGTCTTCCTCAGACAGAAGAAGTCATTTGGATGAGTGACAAAACATTTCTCCCACTGAAAACGCTACGTCCAGATGAACAGAATCAACCTTTTGGGAATCCTGATATTGTGTCATCAGATAATTGATAGAATTTATCAATTTATTACTCCTGTGAGTGAGACCAAGAACATTTTAAAATGGACTACATATGGTGAAATTCAAAAGGCCTCAGAGACACACTAAAAGCATGCAGTCTTTCATGCAAGCCCTACAGAATTTTTTTTGTCCATGTCTTTGTGCAGTTTATATTTGAACCCTCTCAGTAAAGTGGCGAAGCAGTCCCTGTATGCCCGAGGTGTTCCCCGTAGCCACAGTGGCCAACGGGTCAAGGTCCTGGCTTCTGTCACTGAAGGGACAGACCTCTCTGAGAACTGGCGCCCCATTCTCAATGTTATACGAGAGAACTCCTCATCCTGGGATCAGCAGCATGTCATACAGCAACTAAAGGTATATACATACAGTACAATGTAAATGTAAAAATGTACATAAAACATGTCATTTAAAAAATGATTCATACTGTGTGGGTTTTTAAAAGCCTGTTTTTTTTTTAAAATAATAGGTTAAGCTCAGCATTTTTAAGATACTTGTGTTTAAGTGTTTATAAACAAGACATGAGAAACCAGCCAGCTGGTGTTTTTCACCTGCTTGTCCAGTTGTTTGTTGTTTTTGTACGTCAGAACGCACCCCCAACACACAGGAGCATACAAAGAAGCACTGAACGCCACAGTGTCAGTGCTTCTTTGTCAGTGGACTTCAGCCTCCAGGGGAAGAAGAGACCGATGGAATTAATCACGGGAACTGGTGGGCTTCCTGAAAAGGCCTCGCAGGTTCCCCCTCTCCGGCAGCATTGCTGGACAACCTCACATCACCACTAAGCATAACCGAAACCACATGTCCGAATGTGTTTTGAGCATACCCGCAAACATCGTCCCACCACTTTATTAAATCTAGGCCAGTCCATTCCACATTTATGGGTTGTGTAAGGCAGAAGCTAACAGCAGCCGATGTTTTGCTTTTTATTTTAATTTCTACTAGCACCACATAATATTTTTTAAAGGCACCAACTACACATGTAGTTCTGCTTCCAACAATGCTCCAGGCTGAACCACGTTTTGGTGGACCAGGGTCTGCATACAACCTGAGTCCACCATAGCCCAGCGTGTACCCCTTGGCACTCAACTCAACTATCCAATCCAAAAACAACACAAACACATTGGGTTATTGTCTCCCCAGAAACACTTCCCTTGTGCTTGTGGAAATCTGTTTTTTTTCCCCCATTTCCGTTGTCGTTTTTCCTATTTCTGTTGTGTTTTGTGTGCTTTTGCAGCATTTTTCTTATTGCTGGTGTTTTCTTAAGTTGCAGTCCGTTTGGCCTCTCGGGGCCACTGTAGAGGAGGACAAAAGGTTTCAAACTTGTCCAGGCCTTAAACCTCATGTGTATTCTTCCTAGTAGTAGCACATCCATGGCTCAGTGTCTGAGTGTCACAGACCTAAATGTATGCCCATTTATATTTTTTAAATTGTTTACATTTCGACTTTTATTGTATTTTCATAAGTTTTACTGCTTTTAATTAAGCAATAAATACCGCTGCGCAACAGTAATTTAGCATTAAACAGTTAACCTGCTGAACCCCAATGGTCCTGGTACCAGAGGGGAGAGGGAGAACATCAGGTTTAATGGGATGTACCGCCAGATCTATTGTTTAAATAAAGACGTGTGATATCCACAGAAATGTCAGAATCTCAGCTAAAAGCTCACAAAACTATTTCAAAAACCACAAAACGGGTAAAACAGCAAACAATTAAAAAGCAGGCAAACCGATTCTGCAAAAGGATGTACTCGCGTTTGTCTGTGTTCACCTGGCGGCCAAGGACATGTGGTTGAGTGCTGACAGATTCTAAAACTGCAAGATTTATCACTCGCCGACCAAAATTCACTGAATAAGCAGCAAAAGAAGATGAAAACTATACTGCACATTTGAAAAAACATTGTAATTCCCTTTTAATTTTTACTGTCTTGGTTCCACCACAATAAAATTGCACTTTCTGCAGAGCAGTACCTCTTAGCATGCTTCAAGACCAGTTTTCCATCATCTGATAAGAAAGCCTAAACTGTACAAAGGTTGCTGTAAAATCTACAACAACTAGCTGGCAGCTGGATGCCAGTAACTTACTGTAAATACAAATCACAGTAACCTTACTGTATTGTGCATTTATAGTAGTACCGTAATTTCCTTTACAGTACTAGTACTGTATTTTTACTGTAATTTCTTGTACTGCACTTTTCCTGTATTATCCATTTACAGTATTACTGCAATTTACTTTTGGGCACTTTATGAGATATTAGTGTTAAGATAAAAATAAATCCCCACAGCTGTCAACTACATCTGCTGGTGTCGCAGTGACCCAAGAACAAAAAAGCACATAAAATGAATTACACATTTTACTATATCAATCCCTTTGACCAGCTCAGGGTGCACAGTGGAGACTGTATAATTTTCATGGATCTCACTCTCATGCTTACTTCCTGCTGCATCACTATCTACCTTTGCAGGGTTCTGTAAAGCACGTTAATGTTTTCTGCTGATGTGTAATGTGAAAGATGATTTCACGTGAAAATAAGTTTTTCAGTTAGGAAACAGGCAAGTAATATTTTCCATCTCTTATGTGCCATTTAAAATGATCACACAAAATGTACAAATCATGAGATGTATGCTGGCATCCCTCAACCTCACAAATCACTGCATCCATATGAGTAGGTGTACAGCTCAATGAAGGTTTATGGCGATAAAATCTAGTCAGTGTCCGCGTTGATACATTGCACTGTTTGTACACAAATGGTGTGACTATTTTAATAGTTGTAATTAACTTCTGACTTGAGCAATATTAACCTTGTGACATATGTAATATCATTTAATACTAGACATGAAGGCATATGGGTTTAAACTTAACGTTAAACGCTAATGTTAGTCATGTGACAAGCATTAGAAAAGTGTTAGTTATACCACGCGTTAGGAAGGTGGTGAGGGGGAATGAAGATAAAAACTTTATTTTTAAGTTTTCTTTTATTCCAAAGTTACTAAATACTGATCCCCCCCCAACCAAACTTAGTAGGCAAGGAACATATATGCACCTTAGATTTGTCGTTTCGCTTAGATTGACTTCAGTTAATTTAGTTACAACAGCTTACTCACCCGCTGAGTTTTCACAGCAGTTCCAAACCAAACCTAATCCAGATACCAGGCACAAAAGGCTCCAGTGAACACCTCACAAATAGTGACTCAGGCCAAAAGCTTTAAGAAAGAAGATATAAAACAAAGCTTTTCCAAATACAAATTATGTTTAAATAACTTGTAACTAGTAATATTAGGCAACCTCTTCACAGGATAGATAGCAAACAGTTAAACATTAGTATCATATACTAATGGCATTAACAGTGACAGCATTAACAAATAATTTTCAGAAGGTAATAAGGCCAAAACTATTTGCTGGGCTCAATAACCAATGTAAGCTAATAACCAGTGTATGACAATACACGACTCCTCTATCTTTATAAACAGTTAGTGCTGCCTTTTGTAAGAAAGTTGAGAGGAAGCGAATCAAGTTAGAAGCATGTGTGTCTAAAAAATTGTTTGAGGATAATAAGAACATAGTACTCTTTTTTTGAATTAATGTTTTCTCCAGAAAACAATCATTTTTCTTTTCAATGTCAGTCCCACAAAACAGTTGAAGAAAGTTTGAAAGAAATCTCTATAGCCATTGGTCAGTTTCACCTAGGTCAGTTTACTACTGTAAAACAAATTTACTGTAGGAATAATTACAGTAATATATATTTTCTCTTATATATATTTACTGTTGAATTTACTAAAGGTGTTTACAGGGTTATTTATGCTATTTAATAATGAAGAAATGTAACCTTTCACAAATTATGCCAAATTGCAAACACTTATAATAAATATACAAAATGCTATATTTCTAATAAAAAAATTTTTTCTATTACAGACATTTCTGGGGGAGGGTTACAGCTACAGTTTATAAAAAAAACAAAAAAAAAAACAACCCAAAACAAACAAACACAAAAACTGAAGAGTCTGGGCAATGAGCTACCACAAGTTTTTCTGTCATTCTACACATTTATTTCTTACAATTTAAGTCCAACGAGTCGTGCTGACAGCTTTCTTTGTTTTTTACAGCAGCTTTTTCTTTATCAATTAGAATAACAGTTAAATATGTAACTTCTTTACACTGACAGAATGGAGAATTTACTGGTCCGGCTGCTTAAGATCAAAGTGGGTTGTATGTGACCCACAACTAAAATGAGTTTGACACCAACGGTATATGATATATTGCCAAGAAGCATTATTATAACAAACAAGTAACCAAATACAAATTCTTTGCTTTATGTTTTAAGTTTATATGTAGCAATTCCACATTTGTATGCATATATTTTCATTATTACCTCAAGCCTACCTTCTAAACTGGAGTTTCTGAAACATGAAAACCCACGTAAACATGCTTACTTATTCACATCATATAAGGGTCTATTTGGATAGTGTTTAAGTCTTAACAAGTCTGTTAGATTCCAGTTTTGCTTACACCAGCTAACAGTATCAAAAACAACAGTTCAGGATATCCTCAACTCACCTCAGTTTAGCTGTGATAGACAGAAGTTAATAAACAAGTGTTATGATACTTGCCATCCATAAACCCCAAGTTAATTCATCTAGATATTGTCTTTTCAAAGGAAGAAACATTTTCCCACTCACCCAAGTGACTTCTTTAGTCTCAAGACTCAAGAAAACTCAATGTCTAAATAAACAGTATCACCGTTCTGGGGAAGAAACAGCAAGCAAGCCAAGATTCAAACAGAAAATATTTCATTAAAAAAACAACCTTGAAAACACAAGACAGTGGGTCAAAGACCCAGGATCATGACATCCAGTTAGTGACACACATTTCTACCCCTTGGCTTTAAGGGCATTTTATTCCCCTCTGTTTTCCCTCCTGAGCATTAGCACCTGAATAGGTGTCTGGCAGACATGAGCTGTGATATGATGACCAAGGTCTGTCTTTAACTCACTTACCAGTACTGTTACGCTGGCACTCCTGTTGCATTTATAATGTAGGAATTTGAAATATTAGAGATCCAGGTTTAGATGTTTTTTTTGTTTGTGTTTTTATAGGAAAGCATCCAGTTTGTTAGTGTTATGACATATATGCTTCTGAAGATGGCATTGAGACAGCATTTTTTCCTAGTGTGACACCTCACTCATGTTGTCAGAGAACAGGGATCATTGGATTAGTGACCTTAAGATATGAATTAGATTTGCAGAATTAAATTTGAGTCATTTTACATGTACAAACACCCAACTTAAAATTGATGAGGTGAAATGCACAAAAAAGATTGATTGTCAGGTGTGTGTCAGTAAAACCAGTGGCCCTTTGTTCTTTTTTGCAGGTCTTTCTCGAGGATCTGGAGTGGGGGCGTCAACAGCAGCAGAGCCTCTGGAAGAGGCTACATTTCCGCAGAGTTGAGAAGGGAGTCCGGAAAATTCTAAAGATGTATAGGAACAATTTACCTCCCTCCAAGAAGTAACCCAGGAGGTGATCAGGAAATGAGTGTTCAAGTTTGAATAGGATGAATCCAGATAGGAGAATCTTCAAACAGCAATGACTAATAGTCTAGGACAGGGGTTTTAAAACAGGCCAGCGGACTATATCAGGCCCACAATACAATTTTTTCTGGCCAGCAAAATAATTTCATATGTCAGTTATTGATGTGGTCTCTATGTGGGAGCTGAATCTTCAGCCCTGTTGAGAATTCCTGCAGACAGGGGTTGGGCTTTATTTTGATAGGTACACCATGCGGACAATCACGTGTTACATTCCCCTTAAAGGTCCAGGGGATGAAGGAAAGTAATAAAAGTTGTCCAGGTTGAACAAAGAAGATAGAGAGGCCATTCATATTATGCAAAGTAATTAAGCAATAAACAATTAAATGACAAAATAGTTTCTGATTTTCACTTTCTACTATAGAAATGTCTGTGTTTTTTTTTATGACTACAGTTTAATTTAAGAAACAACAACAACAAAAAACTGACAGTCCAGGCAATGAGCTACCCAAACCTTTTCTGTAATGTTACACATTTATTTTGTACAGTTAAAGTCCAAAGACTCATGCTGACAGATTTCTTTCTATGTCACAGTTGTTTTTTCTTGATTATGTAGAAAAACAGTTAAAGATTTAACTTCTTTACACTGACAGAAAGACAGTTTCACTGGTCCGGCTACTTAAGATCAAAGTGGGCTGTATGTGACCCTTGATGTAAAATAGTTTTGACACCTCTGGTCTAGGAGATATAGTTTCATCACTGTAGAAGAGATTTTGCTCTTGATTCTACAGTAAAAACTACACTGCACTATTCATAACCATTTAAAAGACCCAAACACAATCAAACTGTATGGCTTTAATGTGTGAGGTGCTCCACATGTGACTGGATTGTGAATTTTTAGTTGAATAGTTTGTCTTTTAAAGTTGCTTTTAAAGAGCACATTTTTGATTTATTTCACATTAATAATTGAAATGAATTTCCTTGTATTAGCAAGCACAAGAAAGAGAGAGGTAAAGGACATGCAGTTTGTCATTTTCATATGAGGCCAAAGCATTGAGACATTTGGTTGCCTTGAGTGAAAGTCTGTTTTTATATATCATCTTCATTAAATGCATCTTTTTTGCACAAAATAAGCCAACAAAGTACACTGCAGTAAAACAAACAACTATCAGCATCAAACAGAATGTCTGCATGTGTAATTTACATATGATTAAGAACAGAAAGGAATATTTTGAAAACACGTGTATGCTAAGTAAAGGATTTCTTGATAATATACAAGACTTGATAGAGAGATAATCCCATACAGCTTATGACAAAATTTAATCCAAAGTGATTGATGGCCCTAATCATGACCTTTTGACCTC